ATATGGAGTGATGAAAAATGATATGGGAGCGAAAGGGACGATGATAAATGAAAAGGATAATTAAAAACAAAATGGGAGCAAAGGGAATGATAGAAAAATAAAATGGAGGCGAAGGGAATAATGAAATAATAAAAAACAAAAGGAGCGAAAAAAATAATAGCAAATAAATGAAAAGGGAGTGAAATGGATATAGAAAATAAAAAGGGAATAAAGTGATGATAGAAAATAAAAGAAACTGTTAGTATTATTTTCAATAAAGAAAACAATAAAATAGCAAAATACTAGCAATAAAAGTGAGTCTTACCTTAAACCTCTTGAAGTTATTTGAAATTGTTTTCTGAAAAATAAGTTAACAAGTTAGCATAAGAGAAAAAGAACATTAAACTAGCGAAGTAATAAGAAAATAAAAAAAATCTTACCTTAAAGAAGTTCCAGCCATTTTGGAAATAATACTACAAGAAAGTAAAAAACAAAATATGCGCTACGCGTTTGTGTAATATGAAATCACCTGGTGAATTTCACCGGGGTAAATTTAAAATTTTAATGCATTGCAGATCAAGGTGAAATTCACCGGAGGTGAATGTAAAATTAATCCTTTTTGAAATATTGTTTTATTCAAAACTTATGTATTATTAACGTAAGTACTATGGCTGATTTTGCATTTGACGCTCTAAAGCTATAGCCGCCATTTTATGTTTACAAGTTGCAGAATATCTACTAATCCAATTTTCAATTGTTTCTATTTTTGGTATTATTTCAGGATCCAACTCTCCATTATTTACCATATGGATAAGTTCTGATAACATATCATTAGCTGAGTATCGATCACTTTTATCAGCATTACCTGCATAAAAAAAACCTTGCAATAATGCAATAACCTTTTTTGATATTCTTGCTCCACCTCTTTTTCTAAACTTTTGATTTGCTTTTAACACCCATCCAGATGTAAGTTGAAATTCTGTATTAACACTATAATATAAGCAGAAGTCAATCTAATTATTTTATAACTCAGTTTAAAAACAAGTAATATAAAATAAGGTTGGTTTTCTTACTTGAAATTATTTTCTGTATCTACAATTCCATTGTTAATTTGCACTAAATTTTTATTAGTTGTATTTATTCGTAGATGCTTATAAGAGTTATCTAAAAATTGAATAATTTAGCAATTATTGGATTTATAGAGTAACAAATTAAAAAAAAATTACCAGAATTCGGCACTGGTATGGTCTACAAAGATTTTGGCACAGAAGGTGTAGAAATCATTGGATTTGGTTTTGTTATTTCAATTTTTGATGAATTTCGTGTTTGTATAGGAGAATAATTGGTAAAACTACCTATATTTGGTAAGGTACGTGCTTATATAGACTCTGCAAATGGCCCATTGATTGGCTATTTCCATTCATTCATATTAGATATCCCAATCAATGATTTATCTTTTTATCAGTTTTTTCATGATTAGGATTTATTTCCTCTACTGATGTACCACATAGATCTTTGATTGAATTTTTTATATCACTGCCTTCTCTAATTTCAAACCCAATTCTAACATATCTTTTAATGGCATGCGCAATCTATGTGAAGTGTGAACCATTTTTAGTACTCTAAAAAAATAATAATTGTTATGTATTTATTAGATCTGACCTGTGCATGGTGAGAATCTATAGCTGTTTTTGCCTCTCTAGCTTCCAAAAAAATCCAACTCTTTACTTCAATATCGTACCAATCCTTCCAATGTGCCATTATAATCCATAACTTCAAATATTGCGTGAAGTGAAGAAGCAGTAAACCATATGTCCTGTCTTGTATCTGCTGACCAGTAGTCAAATGCGGCTACATTTAGTTTTTCATTTTCCAATTTGGTATACATCAATATAGAATGTAAAGTCCAACCCTTTTTCCAAAAAATTCAGACTTGGATTTTTGTGCTGATTTTGGTAAGATACATATCTTATAGTCAACAATAAGTATAGCCTCATCATTATCTAATTCTAATAAATTTGCTTGAACCTGTGCATTAAGATATACTTTTCACGTTTGATGTGCCAAATAATGAAGTAATTTTTCTTTTTTATCGTCTATAAGTTGTATTTCTTCAGCTAGGAGAATTGATTCTAATTTATCAAAAAATGAATAAAGTTTTGGACAATGCGAACACCTTATACTATGCATCTTATTACATTCACCAAATGCATAAGGTAAGCAGTGATCAATACATTCATCATGTTCAGCATGACCATAGGACCCCGAAGAATACATATACAACTCAGATCCAGACCCAAAATTTTAATATAACTTTATACGCCTAATTTTATTAGAAGCTTTATACAAAATCATCACATAAGTTCAAATTTTATTATAAATTATACAATTATAAATCTGAGTTTATATAAAAAAAAAATTTTTAAAGAAAAATTTCAAATAAATTTTATTGAAAATTTTAATAAATATTATTAAAAA